GCTTTAATCACTGACATGAGGCTAACGAGGCCGTCTCTCTCACCGGCGTTAGGGTGTCATGGTAGGCATGGGGCAGAAAGACAGCTACGTGGGCGACGAGGCGCAGAGCAAGAGGGGTATCCTCACGCTCAAGTACCCCATCGAGCACGGCATCATCACCAACTGGGATGACATGGAGAAGGTGAGACACGCCCCAGGATGGGGAGTGGGTGCCGGCCCCAGCTTCGCTTTGGGGTAAGACCCCGATTCTCCTCTGCCCGCCTCAGATCTGGCACCACTCCTTCTACAACGAGCTGCGCGTGGCCCCTGAGGAGCACCCGACCCTGCTCACCGAGGCACCCCTCAACCCCAAGGCCAACAGGGAGAAGATGACCCAGGTAAGGTGCTGCGGGACCCCCGGGGATGGGGATGGACCCTCTGAAACCGCGGGAAGGGCTGGGGGATCTGGGGGTTCAGCGTGCCAGGAGGGGCTGGCGTGGGGTGGAGGAGCGGGCGGCGGGGTGAAGCTTGGTGCTTTAACACGGGCAGAGCTCTCGGCCGTGTGGTCGCACGCTCGCACGGACCCACGGGTTTCTCTGCAGTGCGTGGACCCGCGGGGTTTTCCACGCAATGCGCTGACCCACGTGTTTTTCAGTGCAACGCAGTGATCCGTGCGTTGTCCCGTGCCATGTGTTGACGCACACGTCCGTGCAACGCAACGATCCGCCTATTCTTGCGTGCAATGCAACCCGCTCGCACGGCCCCACGGGTTTCTCTGCAGTGCGTGGACCCGCGGGGTTTTCCACGCAATGCGCTGACCCACGTGTTTTTCAGTGCAACGCAGTGATCCGTGCGTTGTCCCGTGCCATGTGTTGACGCACACGTCCGTGCAACGCAACGATCCGCCTATTCTTGCGTGCAATGCAATGACGCGCGTGTTTTTGCGTGCAATGCACTGATCCTGTCCCTCCGGGAAGGCAGAGTCCCTGTGGGTTGGGGTGGGATGCCACTGGGGACTCCCGTGCTCCCCCCTAACCCGCTGCCCCTCTCGCCCTCCCTCCTAGATCATGTTTGAAACCTTTAACGTCCCCGCCATGTACGTCGCCATCCAAGCTGTCCTCTCCCTCTACGCCTCTGGCCGCACGACCGGTGAGTAGGATGCACGGCATCCACCACCCGGGGACCATCCATGATGGCCAAGCTGGCTTCAAGCCCCCCCCCCACCCTCCCCCCCTTCCCCGGCATTG